TCGGCAACCTGCGGCTCCGGAGCCGCATGCGGCTCTTTGAGCCTTCCCATGTGGCTCCCAGCCTCCTCTGCCTTTGCAGAGAGAGACAGAGACAGAGAGAGGCAATTGCGCTTCCCTGCTTCTCTCTCTCTCTCTCTCTCTCTCTCTGTGTGTGTGTGTGTTTGTGTTTTTGTGTGTGTGTGTGTGTGTGTGTCTGTGTGTATGTGTAAAAGAGAGTGCACTCACAGTATTCTCCGAGGAGCTGAAAAGCTTACTGGGCGGAGCTCCTCCCTTTGCTGCCTCTCTGCAGGAAGCAGGAAGCAGGAAGGGCAGGAGAGAGCTAGCTAGCCCAGCTAGGCTGACTCAGGAATTCTGGGAGTTGAAGTCCATGAGTCATAAAAGAGACAAGGTTGCTTGTTGGACAACAGCTTGAAGCTTGCCAGGTGAGCAACAGATAGGAGGGGGGGGGGGAGAAAGAGAGAGAGAGAAAGAGAGAGGGAGGGAGAGAGAGAGAGGAAAGAGAGAGAGAGAAAGAAAGAGAGCGGGGGAAGAGGAGTGGCAGACCAAGGGCAGATAGAGAGGGAGGGAGAGAGAGACAGAGAGAGAGAGAGAGAGAGAGAGACCCTTTTGACATCTAAAATGAAGATAACACTGCATATATCCTTTTTTTACCTGTGTATGTGTGTGTGTGTGTATATATACACATATACATATATATACACACACAGATACACACAGAAACACACACACACACCTATAATAAAGGTAAAAAAGGATATATGCAGTGTTATCTTCATTTTAGATATCAAAAGGGTTTTGCGGCTCCCAGTGTTTTGTTTTTGGTGGGAAACGGGTCCAAGTGGCTCTTTAAGTGTTTTGGGTTGCCTACCCCTGACCCAGACAATAACGCACAGCTAATCATCAAATGAAGGCACAGTGTAGCTAATACAAGACAGATGACAAATTTAATCACTTCCCATGAGCAAGAATGCATTACAAACTACTTTCTGGCAGCAACTGTCAAAATAAATGAGACAAGATTTAGGCTTCAAGGCTTTGGACTTGTAATTTATTGCCCTTCACCAAACAGAATACACTTAGCAGCCTCAGCAGTCTGGTTCATTAGGTTCCTAACTAGAATGGAGCTATACTGTAGGTTGACATCAGAAGATGGAACTTCTTATGAAACCACACAAATTGTCATAGGCACCCTTGGGAGAGACAAAAAGGACAGATGATGAAGTACCTGTGATGACATCATTATGCAATTATTATGATTTATTTAATTTAATCGGAGTTTGGGATGCAAATATGTAATGGTGGTATTTTCATACTTAGTCACTATGGACATGTCTTTTTGGTGTCATCACATTTTGCTGTAGACAGCACTGCAGATTGTATTTGCCAATTAAGTCATATCTTACTGACTTACTATATTTACTGTATCATCCAAACCAAGCCACAGATAAGATTGTGGATAAAACAACACAACTAACAACCTGTGATTCTTCTTTGCTATTACGTTTTCCTAACTCAACACAAACATGTCATACAAACTCAACTAATGGTTAACATATAGTGAAACACCCAATATTCCTTGAAGAAAAAAATATAGCATGCTAAAGAGGAGTCATTATTTCCCCAGTAAGATCTGTTCTAGTCTAGTCCAGTCTAGTATAGTATAGTCACTGAGCAGAAACTTTGCTAATCTATATATCAGCTTTTTATATTGTCAGAATAATAATTGTAGTTATCACATTAGAGATGGCTTATCGTAAAAGTTAGAAAGCTACTATATAATTCAATTTGCTTCTTTTCCACTTCTCTCTAAATTGTGCTGTAGAATTAATGGAACTGCATCTATATGGAGGGAAGTGTGTAGTGGGGTGCCCCAGGGCTCTGTTATGGGCCCAGTACTCTTCAACATCTTCATCAATGACTTGGATGAAGGGATAGATGGGGAACTCATCAAATTTGCAGACGACACCAAGCTGGCAGGAATAGCCAACACTCCAGAAGACAGGCTTTCAGATACAGAAGGATCTGGACAGACTTGAACACTGGGCACTAACTAACAAAATGAAATTCAATGGTGAAAAAAGCAAGGTTCTACATTTAGGCAAGAAAAACCAAATGCACAAGTACAGCATAGGTGGCACCATGCTCAATAGTAGTAACTGTGAGAGGGACCTCGGAGTCCTAGTAGACAATCACTTAAATATGAGCCAGCAGTGTGCTGCAGCTGCCAAAAAGGCCAACACAGTGCTAGGCTGCATTAACAGAGGGATAGAATCAAGATCACGTGAAGTATTAATACCACTCTTCAATGCCTTGGTAAGGCCACACTTGGAATACTGCATCCAGTTTTGGTCACCACGATGTAAAAAAGATGTTGAGACTCTAGAAAGAGTACAGAGAAGAGCAACAAAGATGATTAGGGGACTGGAGGCTAAAACATATAAGGAACGGTTGCTAGAATTGGGTATGTCTAGTTTAACGAAGAGAAGGACAAGGGGGGACATGATAGCAGTATTCCAATATCTCAGGGGCTGCCATAAAGAAGAGGGAATTAAGCTATTTTCCAAAGCACCTGAAGGCAGGACAAGAAGCAACGGGTGGAAACTAATCAAGGAGAGAAGCAACCTAGAACTAAGGAGAAACTTCCTGACAGTGAGAACAATTAATCAGTGGAACAGCTTGCCTCCAGAAGCAGTAAATGCTCCAACACTGGAAGTTTTTAAGAAGAGACTGGACAGCCATTTGTCCAAAATGGTGTAGGGTTTCCTGCCCGAGCAGGGGGTTGGACTAGATGACCTCCAAGGTCCCTTCCCACTTTACTATTATTATTATTATTATTATTATTATTATTATTATTATTATTATTATTATTATTATTATTATTATGCATCCCTAGGACCTGTGTTCAGTTTTACTGAGATTCTGCAACTCATTATTATGCATAGAAGTTTAGAAACATGTTGTCTATGCTGGTCAATAGCCTATCTCTGTAGGAAGCCATTTTGGAGAGGACAATGAATATCTGCAATCCTACAATCCTGTCTTTTCAACTGGCACCATCTAAATGTGCTGGGCTTATAGCAACAGCACTTAAACTCCATAGTGCTTTACAGCACTCTCAGAGTGTTTTAAAGTGTCCCCCAACAATCTGGGTCCTCATTTTACTGACCTCAAAAGAATGGAAAGTTGAGTCAACCTTGAGCCAGGGAGGATCAAACTGCTGGCAGTGAGCAGTGAATTAGCCTGCAGTACTGCATTCTAACCACTGTGCTACCACGGTATAACTTCCAGATTCCCAGGTACTTACCCTTAGTTGGGATTAAGATGCGTTTAACTCAAGGCTATTGAGGAGATCAGCTGACCTGAAATTGACTGAACAATCTATCTGCATGAGCCTATATAGGAAGACTATATATTTTCCATTACTGCATTCACAAAGTATTATTTTAAATATGTTGATCATGGAGCCAGAACTCAACATCTGTAAAATGTCAGCTTTTATCTTTTGTAAAAATCAAGTTTTTAATCCCTTCAATTTAAGGAAACTGACTTTAAAGCATATAAGCAATTCTGAGCTGGAAAAGGTAAGAAGTGAAGCAAGAGTTCAAACCATTAGAGATAAGGTTTCCTTTAGTCCCATTCCATGTCATGATTTTTTAAAAAACAAAATATGTAAATGACGTGTTCATTTATGGGGTTTACATTCACTTTTCTGCGACTGGATGGAAAATACGCAGATATTGTCAATAGTTAATAGTTCACATGTGACCAATTCCCTTAGCAATTCATCTGTATTTCTTTTTAGTAGTTAATGCATCATAGATTTTTACTTTATATTGTTATATAGTTGTAGCAGAACGCATCCACACAGATATGAACAGTAATTAGCACAATTGCTGAAGATGCATAAGTTCTGGGGGGGGGGATGGGGCAGGACATCTTTGGGGACAAAAACTTTTATCTTTATCTGGTTTGGTAACAGATTGCCATGTAAGAATTATTAAGAAAAGCCAAAAAAAAATTAAGCTTTTTTATATCAGTCTATAGGAAAACCATGAAGCCTTGATATTTTACCATTTTTCATACTATCAACAATATGAACTTCTTCATACTGGGAAGACTCAGGAAGTAGCTTATTTTGTTGATTCTCCAAATAAAAAGCTTTAATTAATTTTCCATTAAATTCTTTTTTTTTTTTTTTGTAAAGCTTTTGAAATCTTAAATATAACTTTCTGGGAGATGCACAGTTGTGCCAAATCACTTAAGCAACATTGTAAATAGTTAACATTATTGCTGAAGATGCATGAGTTGTGAGGGTGGGGGCAGAACAAAAAACTGTTCTTTTAGGACAGAAAGCGCTTACCCTAATTTTTTTCCCCAATTAGAAAAGACTTAATACATAACTGGGAATGCCAGATCGATTGTGGAATTCCGTTCTTACTCTCAACCATTGCCCTGTTATCTCTACTTGGGAGTCTACTCGGGAGTCGCATTTGCACAGCTAATAGCATTGGTGAGAGTAAGGTTTGCATTTGTGCAAACTTCAGGCAATTCTCCTTGCACAGGTTACTGTGTCACAATTTATGGTGTCTGAAATTTGCCCTTAATGGGAGCTGATAAATCACTATGGGTCTTTTACATTTCCTGTACAGTAAAGACTTAGATAAAAGTGGAGAAATACACCCTTCCTCCCGCCCCTTAAGATATAAAAGGAGTTTTCTAAAAGACATTAAGAGCTGCTAACTGGAAACAGCTGCTGCTTAGGACTTTTTGCAGCTCTCCAGGCATCTGTGAGGATTCATGGGAAAAGCCGTTAGTACAGAGGACACCTCTTCTTCTCACGGAATGATCAAGAAGGGACTTTTAGAAAGTTCCTCTCTGCGCACAGCAGTCTTTGGCATTTTTCTGCCCTCTTCCTAGTTTCATTCAGAAAAGAACAAGGAGGTTGTACTGAAATAGTGGGCCTTTTTCTCCTTCCTTCCTTCCCTTTTTTTTTTTTAAAGCAGGCTTTTCTGAGAAGGTGGACAATGTGGTGAAACCAGGGGCTTGTTGTGCCTCCTGCAGAGAATTCCACCAGATCAAACAGACGGTACTGCAACTGAAACAAAAGGTACATTTAAGAAATATTGAAGTCATAGGTATTGAAAAAGGGGAGAAATTGGCAGGTGAATTCAATTGCTTGAATAGATTGTAGGATTCAATGTGTTTTCTTGAAAGCACATCATCCGTTGCCATTTCACACGATGTTTTTCTAAAACAGGGGTCACCAAACATGGCAACTTTAAGACTTACGGACTTCAGCTTCCAGAATTCTCCAGACAGCAAATTTGAAGAAAAATTCTGATAGTTAAAGTCCACAAATCTTAAAGTTGCCAAGTTTGGAGAACCCTGTTTTGAAAGCTAGATGGCCTACATCAGTGGTGGCGAACCTATGGCATGCGTGCCAGAAGTGGTACTCAGAGCCCTCTTGGTGGGCACGTACACCGTTGCCCCAGCTCCACCTCCCCCCGCAGCCCCCTTCTCCTCACCAGCAGCCACCCAGAGGAGAGTTGCCCCCAAGCACAGTCCACGCAGAGCAGCACAGCCAAGGGCATGGCAGCCAGGCAGCGGGGACAAGACTCTGCCCTTGCGCCGTCACATGCAGATGATGCTGCGGGGCATGGGCAGAGGGCATGGCTGCCATGGCGCTGCTGGGCTGCCTGGACAATCTGCTGCGGTGGGCCATGGAGGCGGTGGATGGCCATGCGGGTGGGCAGGGCGTAGAGTGGGGGTGGGCAGGGAGGTGGGGGCAGTTTTGGGGCACTTGGTCTCTAAAAGGTTCACCATCACTGGCCTACATGAACTGATTTGGGTTAGAACTAGGCAATTTTAAAGATCTCTTCCATTGGAATGGCTGCTTTTAAAAAGTCACTTGAATGTGTGCTTATACTTCCCACATTGAAAGGAACATGTCATGGGGCCCCACCAGGTCAAACTGATTTGTTATTATTGATTTTTTTAATGAACCATTTCCCATGCTGTTGTAGGGAAAAAGCACAGTGGTCGTATGCAAACCTATTTCTGCACTGAAGCTTGCTCCTTTTCTTCCATGAAGAAAACCCATATGGGACTTGAGGTGCCTGAAGGATGCAATGAATTTTTGCTAGGGAATGGACAGAGTGAGAGTTGATCTTCCTTGGACTGAGGCAGCACACATTCAAGTATCTCCTGATTATAAGCCAGCCATTCTCTCTGAGCCCAATTAAATCATACATCATTCTTATGGAAATATTAGAGGAGCTTCCCACCCTCACCTCTTATGTTGCCATAACTCCCAAGAGGAAACATGGGATAAAAATACAAAAATAAATAAGAATGTATTGACACTGATCTCTTGCAGGGAAATATTACTTTGAACCTCATAAGGACAAGCTGAAAGTCTGAAAATTAAAACTCTGAGCATAGCATTTAGGGACACGTGGCAATGTTAGCCTGGCAAGGTAGACCAGGCAAGAAATACAGGAAATCCTCGACTTAACGACCATAATTGACCCCAATATTTCTATTAAGTGAGACATTTGTTAAGTGAGCTTTGCCCCATTTTGCAACTTTTCCTGCCACAGTTGTTAAGTGAATCACTGCAGTTGATAAGTTAGTGACACAGTTGTTAGGTGAATCTGGCTTCCCCATTGACTTTGCTTGTCAAAAGGTTGCAAAAGGTGATCACATGACCTTGGGACACAGCCGTGGTCATTAGTATGAACCAGTTGCCAAGCACCTGAATTTTAATCACATAATCATGGGGATGCCGCAAAGGTCATAAGTGTGAAAAACGGTCATAAATCACTTTTTTCAGTGTCATTGTAACTTTGAAGAGTCACTAAATGAATTGTTGTTAGTTGAGGACTACCTGTAAACCAGGATTACTAGCTCAGTCTTTCTACTTAGATTACATTAACAGAATCTTGCAAGACTCATACCTTATTTTTACTCTCCCCAAAATTAGGGAGAATCTCTTTTGAGAGATGTTTTTGCCACCCTTCCTCTGTCAGATCCAAATTTCATTTATCAGACTGTTGTCTGGACTGAGGCTCTTCCTCCTGTTTCCCAAGGTCATTCCCACATAACGTTACACGGAAAGCAAATTGCAGATAGTGAACTCACAATGTTTGAGAGCTTTACCCTTTCTTTTCACTTTCCCCCACATTCCTAAGATGCTTGTTGTGGAGCATTCTGGGGAAAATGTGACAGGCTTGACAGATCTCACAAAATGTGTGAAAGCAGTATTTCAGTGTTGCTTCTAGGTAGGACATTATTGGGTGGGACCGAAAATTGCAGCTGTCAATCCCTTGGGTGGTAAAATGAAACATTGGCTCACTTAGTTGATATGATTGTTCTGGTGGTTTATAGTAAGATCTTGAAGATTATTATAAATTCCAGTCATGGAAGGCAGCAATGACAGACAGTTATAAACTGGACCATTTTTTACCAAACCCAGGATTGGACATGCCTTCCAAATTGCAATCTGAGTTTTTAGTATGTGATGGCAAAATTCAAACATCTTGAAGAATATCATGCATGAATTGATCCTAAATTATCCTCTGGAATTCTCTGCATTGGTTAGGATTTGGGGCAGTCATGCCAGAAAAGCTTTCCTGGACGTAGACATTTTTCAGAAATTTCTGGTTTAATCTTCTACTCTATCCCCTTGACAGAATTGCAAAACTAGTCAGAATGCTTTTGCCAAAGGAAATAAATCACAGACAGTCGAGGCATACAAACAATCCCATGTGTGCAAATATTCTGTATGTGCTTACTCAGATACAAGCAAGTATGCATTTAATTAGAAGAAAGTCCTAGACTGGACCTAGCCAGTCCATCTCCAAGCCAAGTCGGCAATTATTTTTGCATGGAACCTCTTCAAAATTACAACATAACATGTAGGCTTCAGCAAGGGTTAAAATTCATCTCCGTGACTGTTGCCCCTCTCAATAGGGTTCTGTACAACTATTTACATTCTTGTGGGGAAAGATTTGTGCATGAAGTAAGGCTGAGGTCATTCTCAACTTGCGATTCCAAGACTGAATCAAGACAGTGGAATGAAACAGAAATGAGTTCAGTGTGTGTTAGCATCTGGTGAGGACAATAAGAAGGCTCCACACCAAAAGCAGACAAGTGTTGAAATCCAGAAGAGGTCAGTGGTTCTTCCAGAAGACAGTGGCAAGTGAGCATACTGGCAAATGGGAGAGCCAACTCACATGATCTATGGCAACCCACAAAATCAGGTTGCCGTAGCAAGCCGACCTTTGTCTTTTATATGTTTAATGCTTTCTTAAATACACAATTATAATAACCCATCTACCTATCTGAGAAAGAAAAGGTTTTCTCAGTGTATGGAGTATGACTTTAGCAGTGAAAAGCCTTCTCTGGCTTATCAGTAGAGCACAGGTCTTGAATGGAGTTATCTTCATGTACAATCATGAATCCTTCATAAAGCTGTTCAGGCCAGTGCAAGCAGGCCCTCAACTTCAGATCTCAGCAGCTCCAGCCCATGTGACCAATGTTAAAGAACTATGGATGTGGTATTTCAGAATATTTGCAGGCTTTTAGTCCCTGATGAGAGACCTAGGTAGTACCACAGCTGTAGATTCTAACAAACTGTTTATATACACAGTGTGGGTACAAAGCAATAGCACTTAGACTTATATATCGCTTCACAGTGCTTTACAGCCCTCTCTAAGCAGTTTATAGAGTCAGAATATTGCCCCCAAAAAACTGGGTCCTCATTTTATCAATTAACCACCTCGGAAGGATGGAAGATTGGTCAACTTTGAACTAATGAGAATCGAACTGCTGGCAGTTGGCAGAATAAGCCTGTAATACTGCATCTAACCACTGAGCCACCATGAATTGGATTTTGCCCTTCATTCTAAATCCTACTTTCTTTTTTGGTATTCGGATCCATCAATAAATTTAATCCTTCAGTGTGTCAGACATGACATCAACCACTTTGTCCCCTTTGCAAACAATAGATCATAGTTCTGAGTATGATCATAAAAGTGCCAGAGTGTTTCTAGTTTCAAAGCAAAGTAGTAGTCTAGCTGAGGCCTCCTGTATAGTAGAGTTTTGGGGGTAGGGATTGGGGGAAGAGCTACATTATGCTAAGCTACATGGCAGAAGTCAAATCTACTCTGACTCTGGTCCTCAGTTGCAATTCGAATCTGAACATAGTAAATGTAGGCCATCAATTGTTGTTTTATTACGTTTACATGATTCCTTCAGGTTATGCAAGACAGCAAACATGGAAGCTATCTCATTTTATTCAGTAAAAGGAGAAAGGCTGGGAAGCAGATGGTGCTTCCTATTGCAGCCTGGCATGCTATCCATTCTATCACTTTGAGGCTTCCAAACTTAGAGTTAGGGACATAGTAGCTGAGTCCTGTATTGAGATAAAGAACTTATACTGCTTAATGAAGTCAGTCATTCAGCTAAATGAAGTTGAATAGGCAAGTGACTTCTAGTCTATGACACTTCTTTTATTGCAGGTTGCTTGGCTACCAAATAATGCTGTTGACCTTAGCAAACCAATCACAGGAGAAAAAGTACTTGCATCCAATGCTTACATACCTGGCCCTCCTGGGCAGCCAGGGGATCAGGGTCCTCCAGGTAAGACAATAAAATAGTTCCTACATTTAAAAATATCATAAAAATAAATTTGCATATATTTCATCTGTATCACTCCTCAGACAAGAAGCCTGGATCAGGAGCAGACATTAATTTTTCTTAAGATATTGTTAGGGTCATTTAGTCAGGCTTACTCCCATCTTATGAGCTGTCCAAGGTGCTGTAAACTTCACTTCTCTCTTCTAACTGAAAACTATCCACTCCCACGTTGTGCTGTTTTTGCATGATTAGTAAACTTCACGATTGGGAATGGCAGAAGTTAGAAATGGACTGGGAATTTTCCATGAAAATCTCAGCCTGGAATACTTTTATAACTTGCATTTTTATTGCAATGTATTTAAGTAAGCATTACATTATTATATAAGTGGTTATATTTTTTAGTAGATAGCCCACCCCAAATCTGGTATTTGGGAAATACAACCCCAGTTCCTATTAATGTCGTGTGTTTTGTGGTATAATGTGCAATCTGTTCTTTTGCTAATGAATTATATTATGGATTGCTGATTCTATAACTGTCTCATGTTTATACTTTGTATTACACTAATATTTTCTATATTTATTAAATTTCTGTAGCCACCTATCTCTTAAAAAGTGACTTTGGACAGCATACAACAATTAATACTAAAAGATGAATAACACATTAAAATAAGTACAATTACAAAAACAAAATTCTGCTATTTTTGTTTGCTTGTTTGTTTTTGCACTGTACCATGACAAGTTGATTATGTGCCATCAGATCATTTTCGCCTCCCAGCGCTCACATAGAAAGATTTGCTCATTGACAATTTATCCCTAACCTGGTCTTTCAGGTACTCACATAATGTGTCCAAAGTAAAACAATTTGAACCTGGTTGCTTGTACTTCGAGTAAGAATTCTGAGTTGATTTGTTGGATAATTCATTGGTTTGTTTTCTTGGTTGTCAGAGTATACTCAGGAGTCTTCTCCTGTCCTCTTTTTTTAAAGTCCAACTTTTGTTTCCATAGAGTGTCACAGGTTGCATGATCCTGATCTTTGCAAAAACAGACACATCACACCATTAGAATAATGTTCCAAAGCCTTCATGGCTGCTGTACAAAATGCTAGTTTGCTGTGTATTACATCAGGGGTCCCCAACCCCGGTCCATGGACCGGTACCGGGCCACAGCATATCAGCAACCAGTCCGCAGAAACAAGCAAAGCCCCATCCATGGGATGCAGGCAGCACTCAAAACCACACACTCTCCGGTCCTTGGAAAAACTTTTCTCCACAGAATCGGTCCCTGGTGCCGAAAAGGTGGGGGACCTCTGTATTACATGATCGCTTGTTCCTTTATTGTTGATTCTAAAAAGCAAAAGCTATTCATCACTTCAATATCTTCATTGTCAGCTGCAAGGTTGGTTGCTCTGTCTGTTGTCATTAGTTTGGTTGTCTTTATACTTAATACCTTGTGCTTAATTTTGACTTAACAATTGCAAGAATTTACTATGGAAATTCTGGTCCCTATTGTGGTCCATAAGTCGAGTACTAACTGTGCTTGCTTTAGCTGGGCAGCTGGATGAATATACACTCTTGGCATACATTCCCAACATTCTTTGTTCATTCTTCCCAGCCAAGTGGCACGATGTAGTAGCAGAGCAGGACCTGAAGGAGATTGTGACAAGTACATTCAGAGGGAAAAAATTAAATATGTAATATTTGCAATTATTTAGACATAAGGCTATCTCTCAACCAAACTTTGAATGTTAAGCTCACAATATAATGGTGTGAACGATGTCAATTTTGAACACGGCAACTATTGTCAGTGTCAAAGCAAAAAGCACTTGGTTTGTGCTAGTGGGTTTTAATCTGGAAAGCAAGATGTTAACATGTAAGCAATTTTGCCTCCAAGTTCATTTTCCACACTGGGAATTTAAAACATACTTTTATGGGCCACCTCCCTGCCTTTTTTTTTTTTTAGTCTAAAGGAAGAATTTTCACAGCCAGACTGGCCTTTCTCTTCCATTTACAAATAGGTCTGTGGTGAGCATTCTGTGCCTGATGTCTGACAGTATCCAGGACAAATAATTGCTACTCAGAGTTATGCATTATTAGAATTTCACTTCTTTTTAATATAAGGATTTTTAATTCATCAAGTTACATAACAGTAGTTGAAACAGGTCCTGATTTTCTTGGCACCAAGAAAAAAGCTGTTTTCCTTCACTTGGTTTTTAAAGCACTTCTGGAATACTTTTAATTGCTGTTGACTCCTTTTTTTATTTACTTGCTAGTTTTTTCCCCCCTTATGGTTGATTTATTTGTAATTTTTTTAAAAAAAACTTGTCAACAGCCCGAAAGTCTACTTGCAATTCTTGACAGGAAAATCATAAACATCCTTTTTTATGCAAAATTGTCCAATGAAACTACCAGCAGAATTAATTTCACTGCCTTGTTTCCATTTCAGGGGTTGCAGGTCCAAAAGGGAGCCCTGGATTCCCTGGATCCCAGGGTCCTCCAGGGGTGCCAGGCCCTAGAGGAGGCATGGGGCCGATGGGACCGTCTCCAGACCTCTCTCACATTAAACAAGGCAGAAGAGGGCCTGTGGTCAGTATCATGTCTCCATTCTTCTGTGTGTGTACAGTATAATCTCTTGATCAGATTTGATACCAAGTTTTTGAGGAATGCAATTTTACCTTCTAGGGTCCTCCAGGTGCACCAGGAAGAGATGGAGCAAAGGTCAGAAGTACAGTTTCTTGTCCTCTTCTTTCTTTTTCTCCTTTCTTCTTCCTTGTGAGAGTCCTTCTCTTTCATATAAAGGGTCATATTCAGTTTTCTTAAATTTTGGAAGGTGGAAAGGCAGAAAGTGAATAAAAAGGTAGGCTATTTTGATTCTATCTACTCCCACTTCCCAAGTATTTCTGTTTCTTTATTTTCCAATATTTGCCCCAATAATCAACTTAGAATTAACATACATAGATATTAACCCACAAACCTACAGAAAAGTTTCACTGGAATAGCAATTTGAAGCATCAAAAAAGTATTTTGATGCAGTAGTCCCTGTTTATTCATCTATGATTTATCATGTATTTCCTGTTGCATATCTTTTGCTGACTTTCAGAAAACCATTAAGAACTTGAATGTTTATGTATTGCACAACATACTGTCATTATTATATTTGTCCTGTATTGTTTTGCCTTCTTTAAAGATGCTTTAATCCACTGCACACTGCCTTGAGTCATTTCAGTTAAGCAGTTCCACAAAGTGAATAAATAAATGTGTAATAATCTTTACGTTTTGAAGGGAGCTTCTTAGTATAGGATGAAACTTGTTGATCTGAATGATTTCAGAATTGATGTTGTAGTTGTTCATGTTATGCTTAGTGATAAATAAAACTAAGAGTGTGTAAGAAGTTTAAGTTTTTATTGCCTCGGATCACAACTTTGGTCTGCTTAGAATACATCCATTGCAATCAATAGAAAATTAAGTTAGTCATGACTAATAAATCCCTTCAATTTCAGTGAGTATTCTTTGGATATGAATGATTGTGAATCTAATGAATACATTTTTGTTCTCATGGTACATACTTAGAAAGTGCTGCAGGCATTATCTTTGATAGGTAATCAAATATAAATTTTGCTATAAAAGTAATTCCTTTATCTGGTTAAAAGAAACTAAACTAAAGGCTGCAATCTTGTATACATGTTACTAAAACTTAATCCCACTCAACTCTGTCTTCTAAATTGATAAGCACAGGAGGGCAGTTCTAAGTGTGTAAAGACAACTGTTCGGAGTTTTGATTTTAGATCAACAAGATCTGGTTCAGTTTTACCACTTAACCAAAATTATGTTTGTTACAGGGTGAGAGAGGTGCACCAGGAGAAAAGGGTCCACCCGTAAGTATCACATCCAAATCTAATCTCAGTACAAATATGTTTATACATTAGTCAGGAAGTCCTGTATCTGAACACCAGATGTTCTTCATTTTAAAAAAATAATCCATTTATAATATTGTAATAAAGCAGATATAGAAGGCTGTTCATTCATTCAATTTATACAGCTGCCCATCTGACATACATGACTCTGCATGGCTCTCAAAATTAAAACCACAATAAAACATAGTAACAGAATATAAATAACCATAAAATTATATTAAAACCAAATTAAAAACCATAAAAAATTATCCAAGACATTTACAATCAGTGTACCCATCCATACGTTGCAAATAGTACCACAATCACGCAAGTGTCCTATCACAGCCAGATCCCCAGCATGATGGTAAAGCCATGTTTTTAGCACTTTTCAGAACACAAGTTGGATTAGGGAAAATCTATGGGGATGATGCTCCAAAGATGATATCCTCTTGTTGTGGTTACCTTATTAAATCTTTGGGAGGGAGGCGGATGCATTTCTTGGAGTAACTAGCAAGATGGCCAAGATAGTACAGTGATTAGAGTGATTAAATGGAAAAGACTAGGTTGTAGTCCACTCTCAGTTGCGGAAGCGTACACGATGGCTTTGAGCAAATGTTTCTCTTGAGCTGTAGTGGTTAGAATGCAGTGTTGCAGGCTAACAGCTCACACTACCATGAGTTGGATTCCTTTGATCATGACTGGTTCAAGGTTGACTCAGCCTTCCATCCTTTCAAGGTCGGTAAAATGAGGACAATATTGGGGGCAATAGGCTGACTTTGTAAGCCACTTAGAGAGGGATGTAAAGCACTGTTGAAGTGGTATATAAGTCTAAGTGCTGTTGCTATTGCTCTTCCACTTCAACCAACCTCACAGAATTGTTGCTGTGGGGAAAATAGGAGAAGAAAGCTATGTATATAGCACCTTTCACTCATATGCATAAATAATATTTACAATCTCAGTGTATCTACATTTCATATTTTTAAAGTAGTCTTGCCCTTATTATTTACAACTTTTTGATCACTGGAGAGGATGAAAGCCTTGATTCAATGTTAGGTTCTCTATAGTTTTTGGCCAGTTAGCACTAAGGTTGTTTTATATGTGTACGGTTGTTGGAACTGTTGAGTAGACACTATTACTTACAAGTGAAATATATTATGCCTTTATATCTTCTGTACAAGAAAATTGCTTTGGTTGGATTTTTGTAAAATTTCTTCAATTCTATTTCAGAATGTAATAGACTGTCAAATATGTTAAACTGTATATAAGTGCTCCTCAGTTGTGGTTTCTTTGCAAGTGGGAAATTCCTTTAAAATAAAGAACATTTGGAGTTTGGATATCTCCTGGATAAATGTCAAGAATTTTAAAAAGCAAATGGCTAGCAGGCTTCTATTTTTAAAAAATATGAATGAGAATTCCGCATCCTTGAGTCACTGAGTGGGATGCAGGAAGATTATTATTTCCTTTCTCTTAAAGGGGAAAAAAGGGTATTGCAAGGGAAAAAATGATAGACAGGATGGTTAGTTTTTGATTGCCTTTATTTCCTACTTACCCATCTTACAAGAACTTCCAAAGTGCTGAATATGAATTAAATTGCTCTCTGTTAAAGGAACTTTGCATTAACATGCTTACAGCAAAGGAATTCGGAAAACAGTTAGATAAACCTATGACATATCTAAAGCTGTAAAAAATTATAATATTATTTAATGATTTGGCACAACTGTGTAATGCCCAGAAAGATATGCAGTGTTTAAAATTTCAAAAATGTTACTCAAAGCTTTACAAAAAGGATAAGAATTTAATGGAAAATGAATTAAAGCCTTTTCTTTCTACATGGATAATCAACCAAATAAGCTACTGAGTCTTCCCAGTATGAAGAAATTTATATTACAGATAGTATGAAAAATGGTAAAATATCAAGGCTCCTATAGGCTGATTTAAAACTACTTATACTTTTTTCCAAAACATGTCTGAATTTGATACACCATTAGGTTTTCATAATAATTCTTTACAGATAAAGATAAACCATGTGCTACTTGAAGTATAGATTTATTAATTAATTAAATGTGTTTACTACTCAGTATGAATGATCTTCACACTAGAGCAATATTCATTCTCCATGAGGCATCAAAATCATCAAAGAGCTTGTTTAACAATGAAATCTTTAAAAAACTTTCTAAAAATCAGCCATGCGAAGATCAAGCTATTTTCAGGGGCAGCATACTCTACAATGTTAAGGTCATCTTCAAGCAGATCTGCATTGTAGCCAATGCTCCCCTCATTTCACATGGGGGCAGGAAACTGAACAGGTCACCTCTTCAGTGATCTGACAAAATGGGCAGAATCAGAGATGGTCCATGAAGTAACCTGGCATTGTGCCATATTTTGAATTGACCAGCATTTTGAACTGAACCCAGAAACCCATTGGCAACTCTAAAATAGCTGTTATCCAACAGCCCAATAACCACATTTTGTACCACCTATAGCTTCTGGTACAGGGCCATCAGCAGCACATTACAGAAATACTAAGTTGTGGTGCTAAGGACAGAAGTCACTTTGCTGATGCCTCCCAGTAAAGCCATAAACTGTGCACCAGCTGAAACTGGGCAAAGGCCCTCCTCACTGTGGCCACCAGTCTGTTTAAGCAGAAACCTTGAATCCAAAAGAATTTTGCAGGCCGAAAAGGGAATTATCAAAACTATGAGCAGAGGCAGTTGTCCCTTTTTTTAAAGGGAGAACAAAGCTTTTTTTTTTTTTTTTGCTTGTCACACCCTCTGCATCACATCACAAGAGCACTTAAATAAAAAAGATAAAACATCTTGCCACTGGCCATAGCGAATATAAACAGAGTTAATCTGAAAGTAGGTCGGTTGCTGGAATTCTTGTTACCGAATCCTCCTTTCTACAGCACCTCATTAATATGAGGTTTTAGGTTGGTTTCTTGGATTATCAATTTCTTACTGAGATTTGGAAAAAAAGTTGACAGGATCCGCCCAAGTTATGGACCTGCTTCTTCAGAAGCCTGGCTCCACCTAGAGGCATAATTGAAACCTATCCTTCAGGCTGACCAAGAAGTTTATGAACAAACAGCAGCTTCATCTTAAAAGGGTTTAGTTTAAGCTTATTTCTCCCTTACCAATCCTTGTCAGCCTCCAAACGCCAACTTAGGACCTGCACAGCATGTCGGGCTCAATTCAACTCATTTACAAATATAGATATCAAAATATCCTGCAAAGTTGAAAGGATTCCAACAAGCTTCATATGTCCTAATGAAGCAGTTATCAGTTATGGACAGATTGAGATTATTAGAAAATTGTACAGCCTGAAGTCGTGCTAAGATAGATCCATCTGCGAGCAATATCTGTTCTTTTCCCCAGGAATTTTGAAAATGGATTATTATTCGTTCTTCTTCTCCAAAAACAAGAAATCAGACTAACAGAATGTTATCGAGACTCTTTCTGTTTGAGAGGGTTTGCTTTTTAGTGGTTGATTTGCATTTGCAATTTTCAGCCTATGCAATCAATAGTAAGATTTGTGGATTGAAACGTGCATGCACGGGGTCTATAGTAGCCATGTTTGCAACCAATATATTGACATTTATGATAATTGACAGCACTGGAGTCCTTCCTTGGATGTTGTATAGATCGATCTACATCTGATCTAAATCATCTTTTTTGAAGTTAGTCAGTTGTAAAAATAAATCCGTATGGTGAGATGGTTTCAGTGATGCTCAGAGGTACAGTACCAAGTGAAAGTTAAACTATGAATATCTAAACGATTAAAAAATAATAATATATTAATGTTGGGGAAAACAGAAAATATTGTTTAACTTTCTGAATAATTTATATTTAAATTTATACTTAAAGTTTATAATATTTTAATGGCGGACTAGATTCCAATTAATTTACTTTATATGAAATATGATATTTTGTAATGTTATTAAGTTAGGGAGATGATTGGTTTATTAATTGTGAAAGAAACAGAAGTTGTGAATTATAGATAAAATAAATTATAATGGTAAATTGGTAGGATTGTAATGACAAAGAAATTATTTTAATGTTAAATTTAATTATAGTGGTATGGTTGTTAATAGGATAGTATTGAAAGAAGGTTTTTTTCTTTTTTTCTTTTTTTTCTTTTTTTTCTTCTTTTTCTCTTTCTGTTTTTCATACATAATGGAGTTAAAGTACTTAATAATTCGTTTATTGAATGTAATTATATTTGTTTGAGGTTTATTTGAGTTTAAAAGTTTTTCCTTTTAAGTTCTAGTTAATCCTGTATTCAGCTCTGGGAAGAAGGGGGGAGGGTTTTGGGGAGGGTTGGGAGGGATTGGGGAAGGGGTTTTTTATTGTAAAATTGTAAAAATTTATAATAATAAAAAAAAATGTTGGGGAAAACAGAGCAGAGACTGTTGTGTGCCAGCCAGAGTAACGTTTGGTAAGATGGGAAGCTATATAAATTTCATTAATAAAGAAAAGCAACTTTATTAAATTGACCCTAGTTAAGATAAGTGTTTGAGAAATTGCTTTTTACACCAGCATAGTTAAGATGAAATGAGACAGTCTCTAAAAATTGCTTTGTTTCTACTGCTAGTCATGGCAGTCAAATGCCTGGGGTCTAGTTTATGGCTGGGCACAACTGGAATAGAAGCCAACCTATCTAAAAATATCCAGTTAAATGGATGTAGTGCCCAGTTCAATGAAAGACAAGTAATGTCACTCTCTCCTTTGGAACTTTTTCAGGGGCCACCAGGTTCCTTTGACTTCTTGCTGTTGATGATGGCAGATATCAGGAATGATATTGCTGAGCTGCAAGAGAGGATCTTTGGACACAGGACTCATTCATCAGCAGAGGAGTTTCCACTACCTCAGGAATTTGCTAACTACCAGGATGTAGACATTGGATCTGGAGAGGACTATAAACAGAGGACTATACCAAAAGACACCAGAACATCTGAAGAAGGCAATCATTAAAAAAGGACCTCTGCTTTGGAAAGAGTGAAAAGGGGTTGGGTTGTGATCCACAGGTCACTTAAGCCAGCTTATTTGCACGCACCCCAGCTTAGCAGTAGAAAAATCAGTGGACAGTAAGATCGTGTGTCAGGAGGGTTATTACATTTCTTTCCCTAAACATTATGGTCCAAACAATGAGGTAGGTTATTAAGGATGCTATATCAAAGTCTTGTCTTGCAGTTTCTTCCTATATCAGAGTTCCGCTTTTTTTTTTTTAACCTCTCAGGGTTCTGGGGAATTTTGGGGGGAATTTTTTGGGGTATTTTTGAGCTTACTTTTATTGCCTGCCCACACTTCCCAATCTGAAGAAGCCCTACAGGAGGATTAACACAGTGCTTTTCCTTTACGTTTAAAGAAAGTGTAGGAATCAGGAACTGGAGAGCTAACTGTACAGTGGGACACCCACTAGAAGAACAGGCCAAAGTTATCTTAGTCCAGAACCTTCTTAAAATGGCCAATCAGTTGCCTCTCAGATGCCCACAAAGAAGAGACAGAAAAATGCCTCTTCTAACCAATCTTCCCCCTGCAGAGATACTGGCCTCAAGCCAGTGGTGGGATTCAAATATGTGAACAACCAGTTCTCTGTGTGGATGTTGCTTCCGGAAGTCCATTCTGGGCCTGGGCAACAAAAAGTTAGCTACCGGTTCTGCCAAAGTGGTGCGAACCGGCTGAATCCCACCACTGCCTCAAGCCAGAGATAACGTTGCATCTTCATCATGAATGGTCCTGTCCTCCATGAACTTATCTAATCCTCCTTCAAAGACATCCAATGAATGACTATTACTCTTTCTTGTGGGAACAGACGCATGAATTTTACAAGAATTTACTTATAAGAATTTCATTGGAAATTCTTTTTTCCTTGGAAGAAAAAAAAATGGTTTTCATCAAACTGAATGAGAACTAATAGCAACAGAAAAGTGGAGGCATCTTTCAGCATAGCCTGAGTGATTAACACCCAGAGGAAGTTTTTGTAACTAGAATATCCCACTGAAAATTGCATATTTGAGTGTTTTCTCTAGAAAAGAATACATTCTTTTATGTGGAGACCACTAAAACTGCTCTGCTAGAAAGAAAATACAATCATGTGACCATGGGGGAGGGGTCAGCTATGTCACAGTCAAGGTTGTCTGCATCATGCAATAGATCAGGGGTCTTCAAACTTGGCCCTTTTATGACTTGTGAACTTCAACTCCCAGGATTCCTCAGCCAGCATGCCACAAGTCATTGAAGGGCCAAGTTTGAAGACCCCTGCAATAGATTAACATCAGCACAACAGGGATGATCTCACATCTGCAATAGCAAATGTTCTGAAAGAGGCAGGATAGCTCCAAGTGCATCAGTGTAACTGTCCAGGTAAAGAAACCTGGATATTGGCTACAGTACTGTGGCCGAAACGGTTTGTAAATTGCACTGTTAAAGTTGTACTCTATTTTAAACATGCACTGATAATGTATAAAGTTATATAAATATTTTATTGTTCAACACTTTTTCTTCTGTTTGAATTTGACTCTTCCTTCTTCACCAGAGAGATTATCTTAGCTGAATGCACCTGAACATAGAACCAGACGCAAAGTAAGATCTAAATTTATGCCTGTAAAATATCCTCAGTGTGGATAGTCTGAAGTGGTATTTTGAAACCTTATAACTTACAAATTGGTCAGTCTGTGATTAATTCAGTGTTTCTTCTTGTAATAGTGCAGCAAGATGGGTCCCTCCCAGTTGCCTCTGGTGCCTTAATCATTGTGTCTTCTGCTACTCGCAGTGTTTCTCAACCTTGACAATTTTAAGGCATGTGGACTTCAACTCCCAGAATTCTGGGAGTTGAAGTCCACATGCCTTAAAATTGTCAAGGTTGAGAAACATTGTCTAGTGGCACCTGACGAGGGAAAGTCTTTAACTGGAGCCTCTCTGTCCACTCCTGCTTCCTACTGGCAGGTCTGTTGTAAGGAAGAGTTCAACAGTACAATAATGAACCAGTTGAATTAGACGTCTGGAATTTTAATGGAAAATTAATGGGAAGATGATATAAAGCCAGAACTAGAATGGAAACTTTATATGTATATGAAATTAAGCCTTCTTGGTTGCCATTGCAGTTAAATATATGCTCTGTTTAAATCATGCCATTGCTATTTTATTAATGCCAATTTAATCAACTATTTTGTAACACTGTAACGAGACAATCACAGGTATATTTTTGTTCTCTCTTTTTTCAAGCTGTCGCTTAACATATTTGCAATAAAACGGTGATTGGGTAGAAAACGCTTTTTAAAACCACTGCCCCAAGGATGCTGTGCAATGCTAAGGTCAAATGCCATTGAAAATAATTGGAAATAATTTTGCTTCCCCAAAAGAGAGGGAACCCCCTCAACATTTCTGCCAGTGGAGAAGCCCTGTGTATTTACAGAAAGCTCTATGGCAATGGTTCTCAACCTTTTTTTCCTGGCGACCCCGGTCATAAGGACGCGCCGCGCATGCGTGGCGGGCGCAGATGCGCACCGGCGCCCCCATGCGCGGCGGGGATGCGCGGCAGCGTCCCCATGCATGGCGCGGATGCGTGGCGGCGCCCCCATGCGTGGCGCAGATGCGTGGTGCGGATGCGCGGTGGTGCCCCCATGCGCGGCGTGCATGCGCAGCGGCGCCCCATGTGCTGCGCGCATACGCGGTGCCGCCCTATGCACGGTGCGCATGCGCGGCGGCACCCTATGCGCGGTGTGCATGCACAGCACAGCGCACATGCGTGGTGCCGCCAGCTGACAAAAAAATGGCGGGCTGCGTTGTTTGGCGACCCCTGTGAAATGGTCGTTCGACCCCAAATGGGGTCGCGACCCACAGGTTGAGAACCGCTGCTCTATGGTTTAGATGCGTTGTTGGAAGAATGTCTTAATTAATACAGCAGTACAAACTGATACGGCATGGAGCTCATTGGCATGCCCTAAAAAGGACACCAGTCCTTTTTTTCAGGAGACCACATTTTTAAAAGTCAAAAAGGATACTAAGTGGTATCCCCTTTCCACTTTGCACTTTGATTGGAAGGACATAAATAATGCTTGGAGAACACAGTACCTCTGTTACGAGCTTTTCCTTTTGTAGGACTGCTCTGTAAATATTATTGTTATTATTCAAAACTGCTAATTATGTGGAAGGGTTCACCCCAAGAATGGCTAAAATCTAAAACTTTTGTCCAGATTCCCTGAGTTTATAGGCACCTCCTGTCCAATTCAGGTAAATACAGGTAGTCCTTGACATGATCAGAATGGGAACCGGAATTTCCATTGCTAAGCAAGGTGGTTGTTAAATGAGTCACACCTCATTTTATGACCTTTTTGCCACAAATCAAGCTTCCCCTTATTGAGTTTGCTTGTCGGAAGCTGGTTGGGAAGGTCACAAGTGGCAATCACAAAAGCCTGGGATGGAGCAACCATTATAAATACATGCCAGTTGCCTGAGTTTTGATCACATAACTATGGGGATGGTTGTAAGTGTGAGGACTGGTTGTAAGTTATTTTTTTCAATGCTGCTATAGCAACATTGCTAAGCAAATAGGACATACAAGTCAAAGACTACCTGTAGGATTATCATTTCCCACAATAAAACAAAATCTAGTATTTCTCCAAGTACAAACTTTAAATCTTTTTTGCTTGGTATTTTGTTATTTGGCACAGAATACAAATACGAATAAGAAGAAGTAGAAACTTAAGCATAACTTTACTGATTAATCAATTGACTATTTGAAAGGAATAGGCATCTGCTACAAGTAAGTAGTAGTGAAAGAAGAGGAAAAAAGAGGAATAGTTTCCATTTGAGTAATTTCTTCAGATTTTAAGGCGATCTCTGCCTATAATCTGATGAATAAAGTCTCCCACAGAATCCTCATGTAAATGAATGAATGATGCTAGGACAAAACAAATGAATTATACCATAAATTTCTAGGATATATGCTATCATTTTTCAGATGATGTTTTATAGCAAACAAACCAAAGGAACCAAGTATTGTGTCTTTGTGCACAGGTAGAAACATATGTAGTACATTATTATTTATACTAATTATATGAAGTACTAAAAATGTATAAAACTGTAATTATGCAGTATATTTGCAAATAAAGAGGGATATTTTTTTAATGGTGGTGTTGACTCTCGTTATCTTTTTTTCTGGCTTCTTTTTACAACTGCCTTTAAAGAGACAGTGGCTTCACTGGAAGCAAAGAGATCAAAGGGCTAATAAATCTATCTTTTTGAATGAAGGGATATTATTTTCCTCAGAGATTCAAACACAGAGATTTACATTTGCCTTGGATAACAGCCAAAAACAACAGGAAGACTTAACCATTTTCTCTGAGGGAACCCATCATCATCATCATAATAAAGTTGGAAGGGACCTTGGAGGTCAACTAGTCCAACCCCCTGCTCAGGCAGGAAACCTTTTACCATTTCAGACAAATGGCTGTCCAATCTCTTCTTTAAAACTTCCAGTGTTGGAGCATTTACTGCTTCTGGAGGCAGGCTGTTCTACTGGTTAATTGTTCTAACTGTCAGGAAGTTTCTCCATAGTTCTAGGTTGCTTCTCTCCTTGATTAGTTTTCATCCATCTATTATTATTACAGATAAAATTCAGGTAAAGTGTAAAATTTATTTTCAACATTGCCTATTGCAAGCCATGCATCTAAAAAGGGTGTTGTGCCTGTTCTACAGTTCATTTTTTTAAAATCCTGCCTTTCTTGGTGGGGAACACATCTAAGCTCCTTCCTCCTCCATTTTCCCCACTACAGTCCTGTGTGGTAAGTTGGGCTGAGACAGTGACTGGACCGAAGTCATTCAGACATCTTTGATGCCTAAGGCAGGAGTAGAAATCAAAGTCTCCTGAGTTCTATTCTGAGACTTTAACTACTAGAGCAAATGGACTCTCTAATCCAGTGGTTCTCAACTTTTTTAATGCTGCGACCCCCCCAACCGGTCGTAAGTCAAGGACTACTCAACCGGTCGTAAGTCGAGGACTAAACTGGTGCAGCACCATTTGCAGAATGGGACTTTTGGCGGGCTCAGCAGGGCAGAGACAGCCTGGACAATTCCTATTGGCTTTTGAAAGCCAATAGAATTAGACTCTATTCAAGAGAGTCTATTCTATTGGCTTTCAAAAGCCAATAGAATAAAAGGGAGTAGCAAGGAAAAGGGGGGGAAAAATGGCGGACTGCGTTGTTTGGTGATCCCCGTGAAATGGTCATTCGACCCCAAATGGGGTCCCAACCCACAGGTTGAGAACCACTGCTCTAATCGTTCACTCACTCACCCACCTACCCACCCACCAGGATTTAAATGCCATTCCAGTCCAATAGGACTCAAACAACCAGAAGAAACTAAAGAGGTTCAAATTATCAACCAGTTCTGTACAGGTCCATACAAACCCAAATACAACCAAAGATGACTGGTAGCTGGAGTCACATGGCTTCCCATACCTGCAGTCTTCATCGTGCTGAGATTGAATCTGAACCAATTACTCTCCATCTCCCCCCAGCAGCCCCAACAGCCTTTGGGTGCTGGAATAGGACCTCTATCACATCTGCTCATTGACCCTGTATACAGATGCCCCTGTGCTAATGAATTACCTCTCCCAGTGACTTCCTACATAGTATATAGATATCAAGAGGGGCAAGTGTTTTGAGTCATGCGGCATATACCATGGCCTTAGAGCATGACCACTTCATCTCACCGATGCTAACTGGAACATTTTCAGGCAATAGAAGAACCATTATGAACAGTGTGTCCCACTTTTAAGCCTCAGAGGCAGTCAATTAGGATACTAATGGAATCAAAAGCCATTGAGAGATCCAGGACGACCAAGAGTTGCATGCCCGATTGACTACCATGATAGAATCAGTCAGTCACAAATCTCCACACATGTACTAGAAGGAAATCTGTCAAGAATGCTTCTCACCAGTCTTTCTAACTCTTATTGTGATAGCTCATCACCTCCTTAGTTTTGATTCTCTCTCCTCCCTCTCATCAAAGTATAGCCACTTGTCATATGTTGCATATAGGTGTATTATGGGATCAGAAGCCTTTTTTGAAATAAAGAAAATTCTACATAAGAACAAAACTTAAAGGAAACCCAGATTTCATGTTGGTCATCTTCTGTTATGGATTATAGGATTTTCTAAGTCCATGAAACAGAATGCAGAGCTTCAACAAATATCAAGACCGTGCTATATGATATTATCATTTTACATTTGCACTAATCAAACCGCATCTGGATTATGTGTAGTTCTGGTTGCCACAATACAAAAAAGATACTGAGGAACTGAAAAGTGCAGAGAAAAATGACATGGATGATAACAGGCTTGGAGGCTAAATCCTATGAAAGAAATTAAAGGAACTTGGTATGTTTAGCCTCAATAAGAGAAGGCTAGGGGGAGACATGAAAACAGTCTTCCAACACAAGATTTATTTTCCATAGCAGTCAAGGATGAGATAAGACCCAATGGGAGGAAGCTTA